AAAGGCAAGTTTTATCTAATGTTTTTTGTTACTTATTTTATTTTATACATGATGTTTATTTTATGCATTTACTCCTCCAATTGTTTATTTAGGGAATACTTGATGCAGTTGAGACTCTTTTACCAAATTCAGAACTAGGTTCTGTGTGAGACCCTTGTATAACAACTTCAAAGTTGAGCATAAGGGCTTAGCTTTGAAGGACCTATTGTGGAGGGCTACTAAGTATTCAAGAATTGTTGACTTTAGTAATGTCATGGAAGAGTTACGAAGTGTTGATGAATCTGCCTATCAATGGTTGTGTGAAAGGCCACCAACAAATTGGTCTAGGTCCCATTCTAGTACATTGCCCAAATGTGACATGCTACTCAATAATTTGTGTGAGAGCTTCAAAGCTTGTATTGTAGAGGCTAGGGACAAACCTATCTTAACAATGCTTGAAAATATAAGAGTTTGACTTATGGAAAGAATACATAGACATAAGGATTCAATTAAGAAGTATAATGGATCCATTTGTCCAAGGATTCAAAAGAGATTAGAAGCCATTAAAATGGAGTCAGCATCCTTCATTCCTACATGGAATGGGGATGAAAAGTTTGAAGTTGTTGGGATGAGTGGAGACAAAGCAACAGTCAATATACAAGATAGGACTTGTAGTTGTAGGAAGTGGGACTTAAGAGGAATCCCCTGTAAACATGGTGTGTCTGCCCTCAACTAATTAAATTTGTCAGCAGAGGATCATGTGGCTGATTGGTATAAGGTTGAAACATTCCTCAATTGTTATAGTCAATTGATGAGTCTTATTAATGAGAAGGAATTGTGGCCCAAAACAGGTTATGCCAATCTCATTCCCCCTAATCAAACCACAAGACCTAGTAGGCCCAAGAAGGCAAAAAAGGGAGAGTGTGATGAGCCTACCAAAGGTGTGAAGTTGAGAAGGAAATACAAAGCAATCATATGTGGAACTTGGGGTCAAGATGGTCATAACAAGAGGAAGTGCAAGGTGGTCATAACATCTAGTGGCATAGATACATCAACTTGTGTAGACACATCCCCTCCAGATCATGCAGATATTTTATCAATAAGTTTTTTTTTTATTTGCAATTGGTTGATTTTTATTATTAACATTAACCTTTGTACATTTCATGGTCAGGTGGCAGCTATGAAAAATGTATCACAAAGTGGTTCAAGGTTAACCCCCGATGCTACTCAATATAAATCTACAAAGGGCAGACAAAAGTTACCTATAAGACATGAACCACCTTCTTTCAATTAATAGTTACAAAATTTAAGTAATAGTTGTTTTTTTTTTCTTTGACAGATTAAAGGGAAAAGAAATACATCATGTCCCTCAACTAGCCAACCTCAAGCTACTCAACCACAGACTATCTCATCACAACCTACTTGGAGGCCACCAAGAAAAAACTTCAACACCACCTGTGTCAATGCTACCCCAATATGGTGCAGCACAACCTATCCTACCCAAGCAAACCAAGTTTGCACCAGCTCCCACACAATACTCCAAATCTGCACCAGTTCCTACACAACACTTCAACTCATCCAAGAAAGTGAGGAAGACAAACAATGTAATGGGGACACAGTGAAACTCTAGGACCTTTTTGTGATTTTTGGGATGTACTGTTAATAGGGTTAAAACTCAGCAAACACTTTTTTGTATCTCACTGCAGCTCTATGTTGATAATGATATGTTGTAGCTACACAGTTAGTAATTGTTATAGGGGTGTATCTAACTGCAACTATTTTTGCATGAAGTTAATACAAAGTGGATATACTTTTTTGTCTGAGTATAATTTTGTGTTATTAAGAAAACGGATGTATTTGAATACAACTGCAACTGCAACTATGTTTGAACCAACACCATCCAAATACAAAATCCAATTTGCATTGCATAATACATAATCCACTAGTACATTTGATACAAAATAACTCCAACTTCATCACATTAGCTTCCAAAATATGCATTATCAAGTAGTAGATTTGATACAAAATAGCTTCAACTTGATCACATTAGCTTCCAAAACAAGTTTGAATCAATAGACATTCACAATAGTTCCAACCTTGTTATGTCTCCATTTGAAACTTGTCCATCTAGAGTATGTTCATAATCACCCATGTAGCAATACAGAACCACCATGACAAACCAGAAACCAACAAGGTAGAACCAAAGCATTCTACCCCTTGCTCTGTTTCTCTCCAACTATTCTTCAGAACTTGTAACACGACACAACAAACCAGGTATAATTTGGCGTGATCGGGTTACACATCGGGTGGTCGATCCATAGAAAGTAACTACATGGACCACCAACCTATGATTTTATAATTGATAAAAAAATTAGAATATCACACAATACATAAAGAATTATATAACCTCAGTTTGTTGTAAAAAAAAAAATTTCTTGTTCAATCTTTTTCAGAAAAATAGAAATTTTAAATTCAAAAATCAGATATAAAATCAACAAATCTTTCACGCTTGTGGATCTGTATTTGATCAACTAATTACAAATCAAAAATCTTATGAACAAAAAGGGAAACAAAAGAACTTTTATGGGAAACTCATTCAATGAAATACCTCATTTTTTGCGCAACTGATAAACCTTCTCCCAAGGTTTAAATCCATCCAAGATGTCTTTCTTTATAGCTTTGCAGCCACAGTAACATAATGCTTGCATTTTCCCCTCTTCTTCCACATCCCAATTTTGCTCTGTTTTTCTTGCCCTAGGTCACAGATCTATAACTACAGTGAAGATCTGTGACCTTAAATGTAGAAGACAACCACAGATCTCTACATTTGAGCGCCAAAATTGTTCATTTACAGGTTTGCCCTTATGAGTTATCACGTGTTTTGCACGTGAGCAAAAATAGACGGCAAACTGAACGGCAGTTAGATGTTGGACCTAATTGCTACCGTTTTAATTTTTGTAGGGTGCAATGTGAGAATTTTTATCTTTCAGGGTGTAAATTGAGAATTTAGCAATCTTTCAGGGTGCAAAGTAAAATTTGCCCAAATGTTTTTCAAATCATCGAAAGTGTAAAATTCACTAAAATTGTTTAGAGTGTTTTTAAAAAGTTAAAAAAAGTTCGTTAAGATTGATTTTTTTAACTTTTTTGTGTCAAACTAAAAAAATAATCATATGTATGTATAGATTACATAAAATAGTTCTTAAAATATGAAATTTAAATTTTTTTATATTACTAATAATATTTTATGCATATAATAAATAAGAAAGTTATATGAGACTTACAACAAAACGTTAAAAAATTAGAAAAACACTCATAAAATTAGCTTTTTGAACAGCCTAAATAAGTATTTTTTTTTGTTCAAAAAATTGTTATATAAGTTAGTAAAAAAGTTAAGGTTTAAATGGACTTGACTTATTTTTCCAAAATTCTTAAAAACTACTTATTTAAACTAATTCCCTAAAATTATTTTCACTTCTTACTTAAACTTTTATTCAAATTTAAATTTAAGTAAAAACAAACTAAAAATAAGTTCTAGTCTTTGATTCAAACTTATACCAAATGAAGGGAGACTTAACTTTCAAATATTTACTCAAATTTTCAATTGTTAGATTTTATTTTTTTAAAAGATCTAATGGTCATATTTCACTTTCTTTTAAATTTGAATTTGCCTTACTTAAATTTGAGTTTGTTTTTATTTAAATTTAAGTTTATTCACTAGAGTATCTTGTATCAAATTAAGTTTTTTACTCATTTTTTTTACTTAAATTTGAGTTTGAGTTTAGGTGCCAATAGAATGAAAAAGTTGATATTTTGAGGCGCACAAAATAATATGTATGGTGTATACACATTTAGGACATTTCTAATTTTTATTTAAATTTGAGTAAAAATTTTGATTTGATACAAGGCACTTCAATGGACAAATTCAAATTTCACTAAAAATACAAGAGTCTTACATTCTTTTAGAGTCACCCGTTGTTGGAGGGAGAGCAATAAAGCCGCCGACTTTATTGCGTGATGTCGAATTATGTTTTAATGAATCCAAAAGACCCTTAACCCTTAAAGACATTATTAGAGGATATATAGGGACTTATTTATGTAAGTTTATGATATATTCTATTACGTATGCTTTAGGTACATTTTATTTTGTGGAATGATAGGAGAGAGGGAGGATTTGAATCTCAGCTGCCTTGACCATTGCAATGGGCCATTTTGGTACAATGGGAAGACCGATTTATTGTGTTTTATTCTATAGAGTCATATGCTTCCGCCATAAACTGAGTTTTTTCGTTTTGTTGCTTCATTTTTAAGAAACATTCCGTAAATTGAAGGACTGCCAGTGTCCTGAACGTGCTGCTACGTACTACTAGTCCCAAACCTTTCAGTGTTCTATAGAAGGATTGCCTTGCCTGTGTTGTAGCAACATAAGCTTGATGTATATATAACTTCCAATTACAGCATGTACGTGGATAAATCCTAAACCAAGAAGCCATGAGAATAGCCGCATGAAAAATGTCATGTTGCCCAAATCAAACCGCACTCGTTATGTACCTCTTCTAAGGTTGTAAACAAGATTCAAATACCCGCAAACAATAGTGTATATACTCCGGGAATAGAAAATTAAAGACGAAACAAAAGCTTATTTCTTCCTCAAAAGATGCTAAATTCCTGATATCATCTGATCCATCATCACTTTCTCATTCCTCGAACTAACTTTTGCATGTCTAGATCCACCAAATACAACCAAAGGCATATAAAGTGAAAGTTTCAATGGATAATTTCATAATGCTCCAACATGGAGTGAGATCTGCCCCAGTATTATAAGGCCAATCAAAGGTAAAACAAAACTAGCAAGTCCTGTTAAATTCTACTGTTAATCTGAATTACACATGTCTAAGCCACCAAGCTCCAAACCAACCCCTTGTATATTAAGAATAGGTTTACAAGGTGGACCAACGGTCAGCCTGTTGAGGCCTGCCTTATGAGTAGAAATATCCCCCAGCTGAGATTGTTCGATTTTGTCTTCACTCGGCCTTGTGCTTAGACGGTTTCCTTGCACCTGAATATCGAAATCCACTCGTACACCTACCCACAAACTTGAGAATCTCATCAATTAAAATCACCGGGAGAGTAACAGCCAATACCAACAACCACTCGTTCAGGCTGAGAGGTACAACGCCAAAGACTAGAGCAAGGAAAGGAACATAAAGGATCAAGAAGTGCAGACCAAATGAGACTGACATTGCCAAAAGGAGCCATGGGTTAACCCATGGAGGCATTGTTAGCAGGCTCCCATCCTCAGAGAGGGCATTAAGGGAATTGAACATCTCGATGGCAACCAATACAGAGAGGGAGAGAGTCATGGCCTTAATTTTGCCGGTCTGGAAGTAGTCACATGGATTTGTGTCGAAATTGTACACTTGAGCCCCAGCTGTGAAAGGTGAAACTGAGAAATTATCCCAGGAATGGCACTGCCCCCAGTTCGCAAGTTGGGAATAAGTGATAACACTGTGACCATCTCCACTAAGGTTAATGCCGAAGAAAGAGTTGTGAGTATACCATATGATGAATACTCCCACAGTTGCTATACCAACATAGAGTCCAATTACCTGCATCAAGATTGAGAGAAAGCAAGTACAATAAATTATATACATTACCTCACAATTCAGTTACCTGAGAGGAATTGATTTCAGAAGGAAAAAGTATAAAATTACGATACCAGATAGCGGAATAAAATCCATGCACTGATCAATGAATCATCACTTCTTCGGGGAGGCTTCTTCATTACATCCTTGTCGGGTGGATTAAATCCCAAAGCTGTTGCTGGAGGTCCATCCGTCACCAGATTGACCCACAGAAGCTGAACAGGAATCAGACCCTCTGGAATACCCAAAGCAGCTGTCAGAAATATAGAGGCAACCTCACCGATGTTTGAGGAAATCATGTACCTGTGATGATTTTCAGAAGAGCACTATTATCACTAGTATTAAAACTAAAACCAAGGAATCATACTGCGTATATCACAACTAAGATTGCAGCAAGTTGGACCCAATCTGGAAACAAATTCTACACAAGGTCAAAGACTGGATGCGGCCAAAAGTGGAAGAAATGGAGCAACAATTTCCCTTCCCTTTCAAGGAGATCTGCAAAGGGAAACCCATCAGAAAAGAAAGAATTGTTCGACTCCAAAAACCCGATATTTCAACACATCACATTGAGCTCTGAAGAATTGAGAATCCATTACTTTGCCGTCGCAAATAGTCTAATAAGTCGAGGAATCAAAATAGAAAGTGATCCAAAACCATCCAGCCATCTCATGTCATCCAGTAGTCAACCCCGTGCATCAATCTATTAATAGGTAAACCAGGGTTTGAATACCCAAGGATGATGAAAACAAAATATTGTGTTTGATATCTCTGCTTTTTCCTCATCAGAGGTTTCTCCATAAAGAAAGTAGATATAATCATCCTCAAATACGCAATCAGCCAAAGGCAGAGCAAGGATTTTTTCGCCCAATAGGGCCACTATTCGAATAACTATATAACAGTATCATCAGGCAGTGCTATAATATATAATGGATAGGATTTCCTACAACGCAATCTTGCAACATATATTTCCCAAAAAATTATTGATGCAAGTTAGCAAAACAAATGGTAAAAATATGAAAGAAATTGCCAATGTGTCCATTGTGATGAATTGAGTGCTCATAGTCCCATTAAAGTAAACAGTCAAGCTGGTCTAACAAAACAGCCCTATAGAGGAATTTGCTAAAAGATAGAGAAAGCACAGAAGAAAATCAAACCTGATGAAGGCTTTCATATTATTGTAAATAGATCTCCCTTCGCCAACAGCAGCAACAATTGTGCCAAAATTATCATCTGCTAAGACCATATCAGAAGCTTCTTTTGCCACCTGGCACAAGGAAAAGATACATATAAAGCAAAGGAATGAATTTAAATCAACTACATTGCAGCACAAAAAGCTGTCAGGAAGAGGAAGAATTCTTGGAAGGCTTGACAGAAAAACAGAACTGAAAAAGGAAGTGGAACAAGGGTTAAAACTAAAGGTTGTTGAAGGAGACGAGATGCACAAAATTATAGATCACCGAAATTGTGGTTAGTATCATTTCCCAAGAATTCATAACCCAAATGAATAAAAATGATAAAAAAAAAAAATGGGTCAATAAGGCACAAGTACCAAGGCATCTACCCCACACAAACAAGAATATGCTCCATCAGCTCAAATGATCTACTCTGGCAACAATTAGACAGAACACCAAGTCAAAAGGTGGGGAACCGAATCCTCATGCAAAATGTAGCTACAATAGGAGTCATTCTAGAATGCATGCCCAAATAATGACGACTACTATTAGGACAATGTATAAAACTGGACCAAGCTGAAACGCTATACACAAGAGCATACCACATGGACCATTTGCTTTTCATTTTAATGGTGCTGGCTCCTAGGCATTTTCCAGATATTGTTAGAAGGTATAATGAACAAAAGAAAAGTAAAAATAAATACCTCAGTCCCAGCAATTCCCATTGCAATCCCGATATCAGCCAATTTCAAAGCAGGTGCATCATTCACCCCATCCCCAGTCATTGCAACCACTTCACCGTCTGCTTTAAGCAGCCTCACTATCTCCTGTTTATGCCTTGGTTCAGCCCTAGAAAAGAGGAGCCCTCCGCTTTGCCTTAAATGACTTATTTGGTCGTGATAATCCATAAAATCTCTTCCTGTCAGACTTCTTGAACTGATATCCTCATTTGGCCCAAATATGCCTATTTCACGACAAATAGCTTCTGCTGTATTCTTGTTATCTCCTGTAATAACCATCACTCGAATGCCCGCTGCTATGCAGTCCTCAATTGCTTGGCGAACCTCTTTCCGGGGAGGATCCTGGGACATATGAAGTCAAGTTATTCAGCTCAGTCCACATCTTCTTAAAGCTCACAAGAACTTGAAGAGTTAAAAAGGAAAATGACAACAATTGTTTATGCTCACTCTTAGCCCAGCCAAGCCAACAAAGATTAGTTTGCTCTCAATTGAAGAATAGCGATCTGGATTAAGTAAAAGCTGGTGAGCTGGATGGTCTTCGTCACCATTATATGTATCAAATTCTGGAATGTCCTCCTTGTATGCAAACCCTAGAACACGCAATGCACTTGTTGACATTTCATTAAGGCTTTGTAAGATAAGATCCCTAAAACTTTGATCCAGTTCTACAACAGAGCCATCAAGCAATTGAACAAAGGAGCTTCTTTCCAACACATTTTCTACTGCACCCTGCAATGATGTAGCACATAATTTAATAAGTCATGAATTAAAAAACCACAAAATGGAGGACAAACAATACGCGGGACGTGTGTGTATGCATACATATGTAGATGAATCTGTATAGGTATATGATATATGTGCTTGTGTGTAAATGACAGAAAAAATGGAGGATATAGAATGCACTCATGGGGGAACCATCCTAACTTCCATTGGCATAATTATTTTAAGCTTAAGTATCATTAGAAAGAGCCTGAAATGGTAGTATAAACCATGTACACATGATGTATGCAAAAGGTGCGAACAAAAATGTAGTGGCAGACATCCACAACGATTAGATTTGCCCAGAGAACAGACTACACTGAATTCCAAACTTGGGCAATACGGAACACAGTTCATGCTTGCAATAGTAAACCTACAAGTGAAACACCCATAAATCGTTGAGAAATTTTGACCCCCTTATTTTATTTAATAAGCAAGCCATGAATGACATTGACCAAGATTCGGACAAAAAAATGATGACAAATTAACCAAAATATTTTTGAATTTGCCAACACTCCACCCCCTAGCCCCCCCCCCCCCCCCCCCCAAAAAAAAAAAAAAAAAAAAAAACAGTCCCAAACAATCCTCTCCACAGGGAGGCTAATGGCAAAAAAGGATCTGGACCAAAGTCAAAACAGTTCTGCTACATGAAAATTCTGAGTATGTTCGTTTTGGTCATAGGCTCATAGCACACAATTTACATGGAAACATAATGCCAAGATAGTGACATAAAGTTAACTTTATGGGCACAGTCTGAAGTACTGCTTAAACTTCATTTTAGAGTTGACAAGCTTCTTAATGAAGCTGTTTCCTATTTTATACAGAAGACATTTCCCATGTAGAACCCAAAATACCAAATTGTGCCATCCTGCAGAGCATTGAATGATCTGCTTTCAAACATCCTATTGAAATTATATCTGTAGTTGGTCAGTTTCTATAAAACACAATACCAGGACCTGCATGAGGCTGTTGTATTGCAGACCTTAAGGAGCAGTTTCCTTTTTTGAACAGAGGACGTTTCCCATGTAGACCCCAAAACTCCCAAATTGTTACATTCTGCAGTGGATTTGAATGATCAGCCTTCAAAACATCCTATTGAAATTATATGTCTTTGGTCAGTTTCTATAAAACACAAACTACCAGGACCTGTATTATGCTGTTGTATTGCAGACCTGTTAGACTTCATAATATTTCCTCAACCGTAATATGGTAAATGCACCATTAATAGCCTAGACTGCAAAAGCATCTAACTGAAGTTCAATGACTGGTCCTTCTGTCAACCAATTAAGTAAGTTATGTAAAGCTGCTGTACTTCAACAATTGGATGAGGCAAGCGAATCAGCACTTGTTGAATACTAGCATATCAACAGCCAGAGTTACGCTAAACTACTCAATCAAAATGCTGCTCAGACACGGTGTTGTGGGCATGTGTTTGAAGCAACAGGTATTCTACCCTTTTCAAACTCAGTGCAGCTCACTTTTATTTTTTTAATCTGGGTTGGGTACTCAAGTTATGTTCTGATGCATTTTACCCATGAACTTCAGATTAAAACCCTGGGTCAAGATGTGTCCAATTGTTAGAGACCCGACAATGAAAATCTGAAAAGTGAAGTGAGCCCAATGCTGTAATGGTGGTATGGAGGAACCCATTAGGCACAGATTAGTAAGGATAGTGGAATGCACATGCCAATAACTATGATGTTGAATCTATCTTGTGCCAATACCATATAGTGTAGGATGGAGTTTCCTTAACCTGACTTTTATTGACCAACTTTTAAAATCTTTGAAAGGATGAGTCATCCTAGTCTCTCGGGATGTGAGAGGAGCTGTTTGCTGTCTTAGCTTCTCAAACTGTGAGAGAATAATTTCATCTTCAGAATAAGTGAGTTTCCTTGAGCTATTCTCTGTTCAGAATTGCTATACAAGGATGTGCTGCTTAATTAATACCAGAGGTGCATGAATTAGGGAAAGAACCAAGAACCTGGTCACCCCCCCCCCCAATCATTTGTTGTTCAAGATTTTCATGTAATACTCTATTTTATTCACTCCAAAACAAACCCCCCCTAATCTCTCTCGCATTTAAGCTCAAATGGCAAAAAATGGAAAAAAAGAGGCGTAATGGAAAAGCAGTATGAACAAGAAACTTGGAACTTGTTGATTGACAGAAAATGTTAATCAACATGTAGCATGACATATTATTGTTCCATTACGTAGGTAACCTTCATTATTAGTAATGAAAGTCTTGCAAAACAAAAGATCACATTTTCTGTCAATCAACATGTTCCAATAAAAAAAAAATCTCCAGAGAGCTAAAAACAGACAAGGCGCACCTTCACAAACAATGACTTTTCTCCCGGAGCTGGAATTTGCAATGACTCCCATGGATTTCCTATCACGATCAAACTCAAGAGTTGCAATCCGTTGTTCAATTTTATTCCATGTTTGGCAACAGCCTTAATTTCATGGAATTGAAGAACAAGGATGTCAGCATACAAAACAAAAATGAAAAGCAAACAATATATAAATATAACTTACGCAGTGTGTCGACGTAACCAGAAGATGAACCAGAATTCAGTCCATCTGGAAGTCCCATTTTCTCAACCAGAACCTAAAAAAATCAGAAGGCAAAAACCGTCTTCAATTCAATTTTTCTTAACTGGCAAGTTTTTTATGCATCAACTAAAGAAACTTTTAGAATGACAAAAAAAAGGCTGATGCTCCGAAAGAGACTTGTGAAAGAACATAAAAGCAGGGAATATGCTAAATTTAATGTTTCATACTTTCATGCAACATGAAACTAAGATATAATATTATGCTTCTTTTCTTTTACAGATATAAATAAACGGATTGGATTTCTCCTATGTAAAGCACAAGCATTCATTTGAAAGCCAGATAAGAATCATCCCATTATCTTACCTTCAATGCTGCCTCAGTCGGTAGTCACTGGCAACATAATGCTGGCCGGATTGTTGAATGCCTGCATCATTGCACACAGCAGCAATCTTGGCAATCATTTGAAGGTTGGTATCCATTTGACCTAGCGGCCAGTCTTGTATTTTTCCATCAAAAGGATTATACGTGATCCCTCCCACATTGAATGATCGAATAGTGTTTGTCCTAGGACCCATAGCAACAAGCTTAGAAACTGCCATCTGATTGGTCGTGAGAGTACCCGTTTTATCAGAACAAATAACCGTTGTACAACCAAGAGTCTCAACACTGGGCAACTTGCGAACAAGTGCATTCTTCTGAGCCATCTTGCGTGTGCCAAGTGCCAAGCACGTCGTGATAACTGCTGGCAACCTTCTGGAATGGCAGCAACTGCCAATGCAATAGCAATCTCAAAATAATAAGTGCACTTCTCGAATGAGAACCTGAAATTCCTTGGCCAACCATCAACACTCTCCCAAGTGAGAAAGTATTTCACGTTAATAAGCCAAACCAATGCACAGACCGCCATAATTATAGCAGTTAAAACCTCCCCAAACTCATTCAACTTCTTCTTCAAAGGCGTATCTTCCTCACTCTGAGAAGCCTCATGAATCTGCAAATGCACCAGGCCTATCTCCGTATTCATACCGGTCTGAGTAACCAAACAGATACAGTGACCATACACAACAGTCGTCCCTGCAAACACCATACATTTCTTCCCCTGAATATCCACATCCTCCGCAACAGCCTTCACCGTCTTACTAACAGCTTCACTCTCTCCAGTTAATGACCCCTGCTCAACTCGAAGAGTTGGGCCAATCAATTTTAAGACCCTCATATCTGCTGGCACTTTATCCCCAACCCTCAGCTCAACGATGTCCCCCGGAACAATATCTTTTGAAGGAAAATGGGATAGCTTTTGCCCATCACGAATCACAGTCGCTTGCTCTGATTGAATCTCTTTAAGTGCCTCCAATGCTTTCTCTGCATTGTTCTCTTGCCAACCCCAACTATTGCATTCACAATCAAGATCAAGAATATGACTAATGGCTCAACAAACGCTGTAATTTCCATTTCACCACCTTCATCACCATCATACAGAGCCAAGACAAACGAAACCACTGCAGCCACGAGCAAAATTCTAACTAAAGTATCGTTAAACTGGTCCAAAATCAACCGCAAAATTGACTGCCCTTCATGCTTCTCCAACTCATTCCATCCATAGATCTTCCTTAACTTTTCAACGTTAGCGCTCGACAATCCAAAATCTTTATTCACCTGAAACTTCTCTTCACACTCTCTCACATCTTTTGGCCCACGCCGCGAAAACCTCCCGATCAGATGATCGTTTTTCCCCTAAATTCTCTCTTTCCCAAAATTTTCCCCTCCTTTCCCCATTTATACTCAAAAAAATAACTCAACAGAATTCCCCAAATAATCGACCAAAATAATTTGACAAAGCCACACAATTCACCTGCAATCGATCAACTAATCAAAACATAAATTCACGATCTAAAACTACAAAATCGAGACACATAAAATCTAAACCAAACAGCAATTCAATAATCGAAAAGATCTAGAAGTGACTGTACAGTTTTCTAGAAACATATATGTATGTGTCGCTATTTTAACTGTGTAACGACATAGATATGAAACAGAGTTAGGGTTAGGAAGAACCAGTATTGTGGAAGTGTTGATGTTCAGAGAGGAGAGAGAGCTGAGGCTTTGATTTCTCTCTGTGGAAACAGTGGAGTGAGAGAATCGAAAACGAGATC